GGGGGGGGAGTAGGGGGAGACATGTCTGGGCTTAGGGGGACAAGAAAGTTGAGTTAAGGTCACCACCAAGAGATACAAATCTTAACTCTCTCTGTGTGTGTGTGTGTGTGTGTGTGTGTGTGTGTGTGTGTGTGTGTGTGTGTGTGTGTGTGTGTGTAACACAAAATACAGATATATACACGCAGAGTCCTTTGCCGTGTGAGTGCATGCATATGCATAAGCCTGTATAAAAGCGTGACAGCCTGTGATGTTTTTAGCTGTTGTTATGTATCTTGTGTAGTTTCTTCTCTAGCCAGTGAAAGCTCCGAGAAGCATCTAAAAATATCACAGGCCAGAGAGGAAAGCAAGGATTGGGAAACATTTACTGAAGAAAAAGAAGAGCAGGGAGCTCCTTCCAGAGACAGCCGCCCCGGAGGGAAGTCTGCAAACAGGATCACCCAGAAAGGATTTCCCCTCATTCTTCCAAGCATGCAGGTTTGTTTTTGATATTACCTGAAATAAACTGCATAAGCTGTTAAAGAATATACACCCTGTTTTACTTTTATGTGGTGTTATATTGAGTGTGAATGAAACCCAAGTGTGCTCTGTTGGTATTGAAGGTTGCTCTCATCCAGGGTGGTAGCCTGCTGCAAACTCATTAAGGTCATTTCCGTCTGTTTACGGAATTAAAAACAGATTTCTGGGAGATATAGATACAGGAGCCGACTTGTACACGAATCGTGAAGAGATGAGGAGGAGGAGGAGGAGGAGGAAAAGGAGTGGGCGGGTAGTAAGGAGGAGGAGGGAATCTAGATGGGAAGGAGCAGAATAGGCGCCGCAGGAGAGAGATAGAGAGGGGAGACAGACTGTGGAGGAGAAGACACACAGCTTAATCTCTGCCTGGAGATGAGAAATACTTTTATCTTACACTGAGTCAACTGTCGGATTTCACCTGTTGCCGCCATGTATTTTGGTACGTAAACGATGCGTTTTCCTCTCAAGAGTTGTTGGTTAATATAACGCAGCGGAGTCACTTGTTGCTATATTGAGATGGATGTGAGCTTTGTGAAGTCAGTCACCTGCACAGCGGAGCACACAGTGATCGTGCAGTTTACTCAATACAGATTTAAAAGACAACATTATGGTCTAGGTTTGTGTCATGAAGCGTTTTAGTGCGCTCAATAATCCTCATGATAAATAACAACAGTATAGAGACAGTTCTTCAAAACTAGTGAGACAGCATATAATAGCAGGAAAGCTTGATATGAATTATTATGTTACATGCATGTTTGTTGAATGCCTAATATACATGTATGATGTGATTATAGGAAATAAGTTGTGCAAGAACAAAGTAAGACATTGCTTTTTAATATTAAAAGTTCTGGCAAGAATATTTAATAATGACCGATCGCACTTTTAAGTTGTGGTTTTTAAAATCATAATGTGTTCGTTGATCATTATCGGTTTTAAGGAGGCAACACATTCCTTCAGATTGTGAGTAAACATTAAGCTTGTAACTTCAAACAGTCTTATTAACTGAAGGAAACGTTTTAAACTAATTCGACAAAACAAACACGTGCAACATTTTTACTGGCACTGGCAGTGCATGGATAATCGGGATGACAACAAAATATCATGAATGCTACGATACAATATACAAATACAAACATTTTACTTTAAGGAAAACTCTCCACATGCCAAAAAAGTCGGACTTGGAGGCCTGTGTGGTTGAAAGTAGTGAGAGTTATTGTCCCACCCCTTATTTTAAATATGATAAAGTATTATTTAGGATTCCACCCCTGTATCCAGCGAAGCCACAACTGCGTAAAAGCGCGTCTGGTTACGAAAGGACCAACAGTGTTTGGCCCAGATGAAGCCTAGCAGGAGCACCTGCGATCTGCACAGTGCAGTTTAAAGGGTCTACATAGAAAAGGTCCTGACAGCTGCTGATTTTAAGGACGGAGAGGATTGACTCCTTTTGTTTCTGAAACATAAAGCATCATTCATAACATGCTGAACCAAACAGTGGGTGGAAACCAAAGCAGTATGAAGCTTTACGTTTATATTTTAAATCATTCTTTGCGGTTTTGGCCAAGCGTATTGTAATAGTATTCCCGTGTAAAGTTGACAATTATAAACTGCATTGTGATACACGAGGGCAGCCCCCGCCCTTACTGAAAAGACGTTCCCTTGCAGTGGCGGTTCTAGACCAGTCTTACTGGGGGGGCCGCGCTCGGATCAGCTGTTTTATGAGAGGGGCACATTACTGTTGGACAAAAGATACAAAGACAGTGTTCAAGATTTTTTTTATTCAGTATAAAGTCATCATTGCCCACAAAAAAACATAAAATACCATTTGTGTTTGTTTTAGTAACGTACATTAAGTAAATTACTTACGGTTTTATTTTTATTATAATATAAAGAAGCCAAACATTACTGTTATTTTCGAACCAAGTTACAACACATTCTTTGCTGCAACACTTTCCAAAATTGTTTTATCATATTTTTTTCTTTTGGAGAGGGGCTGCAGGGCCGTAAAAGATCAGTGTTACAGGGGCCCATGTTGGCCTCCCCCAGAACTACACATCTTCCCGTGCAAATGCAAAAGCAAACGCTTACAGCGTGACGTGCCCGCACACACGTTCACTTATGATTTGAGCTTGTTAACAGCAATCAGGCTAATGGCAGAGCGGATGGGTGTGTGTCCTGATTTTGATTATTATGATTGCACATGCGGGCTGGTCCTGTATCAAAC